GTCGCACTAGCGGCAGTGTTTTTCATACGGTGATTAGGTGAGCTGATTAAAGATGAAATCTTACAGTGCATTTCCTAGTCTGTACACCTAGGAAAGCCCTAAGAAGGAAATGTCTGCCCTAAGGAGCTCAGCTCATCATTCACAGGGATTGACTGACTTTGAAGCAGCTCTTATGCAATGAACAGGCACATCAAGAGAGAAAATGGGTTGCCCAAGAAAGCACTTAGAGATCCACTTGAGCGTAAGTTAGCAAGCCAAGGCTTCATCTGAGATTGTAACCACAAACAGGCAGCGATGGAGCATCATGATACGAGATGGCTTAAGTTGCTGAGAATCAAAAGCACAAGCTTGTGGGCAGGAAAATCCTGAAAGGCAGGAGCAGGAGCAGTGCTGTCTGACTGGTGTTGAGTAGCTTTGAAAATTGTGTTGCAAAAGCTGCTTATCACATAGATATCTGTATACTCAGCTTGACTCATTACTCCAAAATAGCAGTATCACCCACAGCTGAAAGGAAATAGTAACAACATGAGCTGTAATCTTGGGCCTTTCCTTCTATATTCAACACTACTTAGCAGTAAGCCCTTGTCAACCTTTAGTTTGGATCTTTATCTTAGGAAATGAGAGAGACACTGAGAAGTTTGGAGTAAGCTCTATGTTATCCCATCAAATTTCCCTTGTGGACTACACAGTAGAATTTGGTAGATCACACCAGTAGATGAGATCTATCCTGTTGGATAATTCTCATGCATTCATATCAAATATGCCAAATGGGGATCCCCTTGCAGGTACAGTTTTCCTTTCATGCCTTTTCCATGTGTAACTCCATAACAAGTAAACATGTAGGTACCTAAATTGCTAACTACAGTGCTGACTGCGAAACCACTAAGGGTGCAAGTACCGAATTTTTTATGGAAACTCCTTTAGCAGATCAAAACAGTGCCTGAAAAATCAGAAAGCTTGGACCTCTCTGCAAATTTATGCCATGCGTCACTGACAGTAGCCACAGAAGCAGATTAAAGTATTGTTTTCTGCAAGTAGCAGGATCTAAAAATGGTGCTTTCTATGCTGGATGGGAGTAAGTATTTTGGGAATGAGTATGCCCCTTTCCATCATGGTGTAAGTTGAATGGCTTGACAGTTTGGACATCTTAACATGGTTGTGTTTCTAAAGTAGCTCACTGATATCTTGCATCTTTATCAGGATTCTCATAATACTTTGTGTTTTCCTGTTTCCTGGTGTCACAAAATCATGCCAAAACCTCAGCATTCATCTACAAAGTGCATTTTATCTTTGGTGTGGTAGAGAAAAGCTGGCAAGTAAGACTTGAACGAAGCTCATGTATAAAAGAAAGGGCAAATAAAAGAAGTTTTAAATTATTTTAAAGGCAGTGTCATAATTTTTGAGCAGGAAGTGACTTATGGCTTTTAGTAGCTCAGATTTGTAATTTAAGGAACAAAAGAAAGCATTACAACTGCCAGGAGAGGTGCACAGCAAAACATGGAGAGTGTTGAACCTCAAACAAACATTTTCACTGCTGGGGTTGCCTCCTTTAAATAAGTGCTCCTCAGTCAAAATGGAATGGGATCAGTTTAAACTAGAAAAAAATATCAAAATCAATAAAAGTCAAGTTTTACTGGAAAATCACACCTGGAGGAGATGGTTTAACAAATTTACTGCCAAATTTAGCAGGAAAAACTCATCACTGGCTACATTAATATAAAAGCTAATTGTATTGGATTTTCACCTTTGAAGCACATAGCCAAAGATCTGCTTGTAGTATTTCAGTCAGGAATATTCCTGAGGCTTTCAGAGGCTGCTGCCTTCTCAGCATGATTTGATTGATGAGAATGACACAGGTAGCAGTTGTCGTTCTATTGCAAAATTCCTTAACTGTACATTTATGGGCAGAATCAGAATTTGATGAATTTCAGGTCATGGCACAAAAGCATTTCTTTCCCTTCATTCTGGCTTTTAGAAACACACCTTCCAACAACAGGCAGTTTGATTTGTATGTTCTATTCTTGATTTAGCCAACTCATTCTGATGGCCAGAGATTTTATGAAAAACAAGCTTTCCCACAATCTTTTGATTTCTGCATGTCATGGTAACCAGTGGCACTAAATAACAACAGTGTCTAAACATTTTCGGAACCAGATAGTAGCTACGGACAAAGGCCGATATCACAGTGAGAGGAAGTTTTGCAAGGACAATTTAGGAGCAGATTGAACAAAGACACCCTTGAAACAAAGGAAAATAACCAAAACAGGTGCAACAGTAGTTATTGAAACACAGAACTCTGAATGCTCTGCATGCGAAGAAAAGCAGAACAAAGAAGATACAAGGCCAAAGCCTACAGCCATTCCTCAGCTAAAAATTCCTCCAGGAAGTTGGATATCTTTTCTGCCTCAGAAAGTGAAGATTCAGTCCTACAGTAATGCAGTGTATTTCTCATATAGACTTGAGTTTATGTTTATAGAGACCATGCAAGGGTTCCTGGCCAAGCAAGGATTCCCATCTGGATAGTGGCTGTTATCTCACCCCTGCTCTGGGAAGACGGCCTCATTTCACGAGCACACACCTTGCGTTTTCTTCGGTCATGTTTCATGAAGGGAGATACTGCTTGATTCTTGAATGACATTGATACCTTCCCCATCTGCCCAGCAATATTGTGATATTGCCATGAATCACATAGCTCGTTTTGGACAAAGTGACATTTCAGAGACAGCGAGACAGGCGTTGAGGGTCTCTCTCTCCCCGTCATAAACATTGCTCCAAACTGATCCAGGGAGCAGACCCTGGAAAATTCTTGTCAGTGGTGGTAGCTGCAATGTCCTGGCACCCCGGAATGCAGCAAAAGGCCGTCTGGGAGGACAGCAAGCCCGTTCCATATTCAAAAGTTAACACACAAAGGAGAAGTCAGCTGTTCATTCTTGCAGTAAAACGGAACCGTGGTGAGTGAAGCCACATCATGGTGTTAGCTGGTTGCTGAACAGCACAGCATCATCAGCTTAACAGATCAGTGCTGACTACACCATAGCTCAAGATGGGTCCAGCATTCTTCTGAAAACTTAGAAAGTACAGTATGGAAATGAAAACTTTTCTGCAAAGTGGTGGTACTGTAATCCATTATCAAAAAGCACTGTGATGGCAAGTACTACAGATAAGGCACCTGCTTGTTATCAGAATCTGAGAGTCACCTGGGAATGACAAGAAAGAGCAGAGAGTTACTCGCATACTTTTTTATAATTAAAGGGATAATGATTTGATCTGGAATTAATGTTTGGAAGCAAGCTGTGTGGCTAGGGAAGCACAGAATTCACACCTTCAAGTATTTGATTGCTGTAAAGGAGCCTCCTTTTTTGGCATGCAGCATATATTTGCTGTATAAAGAAATACAGAACAGTTTGTCCTTGAAGCAATTAATCTCTTCTGAGACACACAGGTTTTGAATGGACGTAGACATAATTAGAGTTTTTAAATTACACAAGGCATGCTCAATCTCTCCATCAGTGTATAGCTGGAAGAAAATGTGGGAAGGATCTCTGGGGTAGAGCAAAGTACTCCTACTTCAAGAAAAATCATGTCCCATGTTTGGGGAGAGGGGGATCATATTGCAATTTGATATAAGAGACTGGATGTGAGTAAGGAGAAAGATGCTAATAGTCTTATCCTTGCATCATATAGCACAGATTTAGCAAAAGGAGAGCCAGATATCAGCCACAGTGCCACTGTTGAATTTATGGAAGGATCTGGAATTAGCATTTTTACCTTTTCCAGAGAACTTTTCTAGCCACAGATTTTACCAAAGGGAAATAAAAAAAGACCTCACATAAAGCTATTTGTCTCATTCAGAAACCAGTACCATTTAGAATTGTATAAATAGTACAATAATAAATAAAGGAGTGTCCTGTCATAAACGTAGCACGAAAAAACGCCAGGAGATCATCACCTTCTCAGACATCCACATGATTCAGGACTAAGTGGGCTGATGCCAATGGCATGAAATAAGGAGCAGAAAACAAGATCAGAACTGTACCCTGATCAACTAAGGGGAAGCCGGTGAAGAAATGCTTGTCTATGTGCATTTATTTTCATTTAAGGTCTATATGAAATAATAATGAGAGAAAAATCCTCACCGTTTTTTAGGATATTTTTTCCTTTCCACTTTAAAACACTTTGGCTATTCATTAGTTGTTTTGGATATTCTTAGTAAGTGCTATAATTAAGATAAAAATGTAATTCAAATTCTGACTGCTCTTTCAGCAGCTTACAACTTTTCAGACCGATTTCGTACTTCTTAAAAAGACATGGTCAGGTACTTCTCTTTTGCATTTAAATTGCAAAGTTATCTTTTTTATATAAATTGTAATCCAGTAAAAAACGTAATTTGATTTATCAGCACTGAATTCAGACTTACTCTAAGTGGGGACTGTGTTTTTTATACCACACATATAACAGGCTTGCCTTGATTCCAAATGTAGTTTTAAAAGAAAACAAATGCTAAGATTAAAAACAGGATATTGCAGATAAATAAATACTAATTGAAATCAATACAGGCAGATTAATTTGCATCAAATCAAGATCCAGACCATACCCTGAAGAGCCATAATTGGGAAAATAAATAGGCATCAACATTTTTTCCCCAAAACTACCTTTCTGAGAGTAATCAAGGTACCTAAATGCTCTTAATTTAATCATTCACTGGAGGATGTTACAGGTAAGTGCTCATAATAAACAGTAGGTGTTTCCCTGAGGGCCATGATCGTTTGCATAATGTGCTAGCTATTTATTTTCCAGTGTTATGGTGACAGAAAACTGTTACAGTACAGCTAACTCTAATGAGAAGTTTCAGAAATGTCTTTTGCTAATGAGAGATCTTGTTTAAATTCTGAGTTTCAGAGGTTAAAATAATATGGCACCACCAGTACAGTCACTGCTGTTACATATGATCCAATTCCTTTTTCTTTAATTAACTTTTGTATGTTCTAATCTATTTATAGATGGAGACATCGAGGGCCCCACAGCTGGAGCAGATGTGGCTGTTATTGGAGGTAAATAGCAAACTGTACTAAGCAGCACCATTAGAATTAAAACAGCAGGTCGGTTGATTTCTTGCATTTTGCAAAACCCCTACTTTGCTGACAAGACAACAGGAGCAACACAATTAGAGTTAATTAGGCCAGTGGGAAATCTGCTCCCAGAGGGGCTATTGGCAAGATAACGAGATGAGATAATGAGCATAAACCATATAGGGAGCAGTACCATCCCCATCCATTCCTCATTTTAGGACAAAGTACCTAACAGTCCAGCAGCAAAGTCAATCTCTGATATTCTTCATTATTCACAGGGCCAAGATTGTCATTTAGTACAGAACTGTTGTAGCACCTTTGATTTGAGCCACGCTAGCTTATACCAGCTGACCCTTTATTTTTACAGAAAATACCACAGTGCATTTCCTGGTGTTGCATTAAAGCTCTCTCATGCATTTAAACTAAATACAATTGTCAGAATAAATGAGCAAAGCTATGTTCACGGAAAGTACCTGTCTTTTTATTTTGTGTTTGTTCATTTCCATGCTAACGCGCTAATTTCAGTCATTCACAAGGGGGTATACCAATCATTAGTGCAAATTGGTGAGGTTCTGCTATATTTCCCTCAGGTCCCATCTCTTGTAACTTTAATTTCAGCTTTCTATGAACAACTAGCAGGTAAATTGATTTGTACTTACTCCCTTAGGCTTATTAATATTGTGCTACATCCAAAGCCTATTAAAGCCTCTTGTGTCGAGGGATATCAGTGAGGTCCTAAAAATTGATGAGGTCCCCACTGCAACTATGATATTACTGTAAACCTAAAGTTCCTTGTATAAGCAATGTCATTTCTGCTAGCAGTAACTTCACTTTCCAGAATCAGGCACTTTATAATCTGTGGGATAACATTGCAGGCATATTTTTTAAGATGGAGTTACCATTTTTATTTACCCTCATAATATTCTGCCCATTCTGCTGTTTTCATGCCAACAGGGTATCCCTACTCAGTTTTCTGATTCTGATAAATTTAAAGCTTTGGAGAAACCCACACCTGTCACATATCTCAAACACAGGGGACAGAAGAGATACCATCTACATATCCCTCTGTTTCTGCAGAATAGTAGGCATTTCCAGGGAGCAATTTATCTGACCAAATTCCTTCCAGAAGAGGAATCACCCCACACACACACACTGTCCACTGACAGCAGAGGAAGTCCAAGGGCAGTAACTCAGACAGAGCCTCCTGAACTGTAGATACCTCCAATAAGTCAGATGAGTTCCTACCTATTGCATTCTTCACACAGCAGCTTCACACTCCACATATGGATTTTCCTAGGAATATCATGTTCTGGTGCTTTTTATTGTGTATTTCTTTAATGTTTGGTTTACTCCTGGAGTCATGTGACTATAGAATCAGCACAGTATCATGTACTTGTACCAAACCACAGCTAAAGTGTTTCTAAGCACTTCCCAGTTGTACGGAAAAAGTGTTAAAAAAAATAAAAATCACACCAGTTGAATAAACATCAAAATACTTCATTCATTTTCAGGATTCTTAAGTGAACAATTTGATTGGGGAGGAAGGGGATACAGCTTGTAATTTTTTAACAATGGACTTGTCAGGAGTGCCTCTCTTTCATGGACTTCTAAATTTCACATTAGTAAATGAAAAAAAAAAAAAAAAAAAAGGGCTAAGGGCTAAGGGCTCCGGGAAGCAAGGACACACAGTGTTCTCTGCACAACCACTCCTGGAACTTGAATTTACTTTCCTTCACTACGAGTTTTTCCATTTACCATTTAGTCCTACATACATTTGGGTTACCTATGGAAATTTTTGTCCAGTCAACACATTACGAGTAATTAGCCTTAGTCCAGGAGACAGGAATGATCTACCTAGAAAACCTTCCTCTTCCCAGGTGTCACTTCCACATTCATTACAATCAGACTTTCTTAATTAGAGCACAGCACGAAATGGCAGCTTGCAAATACAGAGCAGTACTGCAGTCGCACGGCTCCTGCTATTTGTTGAATGTCTCCTAAGAAATACTCAGTACCTCGTACCTCTCCTGAAATTCAGTATACTTGCGGAGGTAGGATCAGGTTGCCTGCAAACTCCCCTGGGTATATCTTACCAGAAGAATGAAATAAACCTATTGGTTTTCCTTTCCTTTATGTTCTCTTACTTCTCCTCATTTTGTAATGAACTTTTAGCTCCAATGAATCCAACCAAATCAAGCCGTTGATTTGAAAGAAAGCTAGTGAGAACTTGACCTGCATACCTGCACTATTTCTATCCCATCTTGTCTTTTGCAGTGTCAGACTCTGTTCTGACTCTGGCCCCTGCAACATGCAAACGTCTTACTAAACATGGGCTTTTCCCTATCAAGTAACTCAAGTTGTGATGTCTGGCTGTCAGATACTGCTTGTATTTTATCACTCGCAATACATTTAACTCTTTCCTCTAGGTGTGATTGCTGCAGTTGTATTTGTCCTCATTTGCCTGCTGGTCGTGATGGTCCGGTACCTGTACAGGCATAAGGGCACCTACCACACCAATGAGGCAAAAGGAACTGAGTTTGCTGAAAGCGCAGATGCAGCTTTGAAAAATGACCCCGCTCTGCAGGAAGCAGTGGATGAGAGCAAAAAGGAATATTTCATCTGAGAAGCAAGGATTTCCATGGAGACTTCCCCAAGGGAATCAATCAGAAATGCTACATCAACAGAAGTGCTAAGAGATGGATAATATGAGGATACAGGCAAGCATCCTAACTGAAAAGTATTTCTTCACTTTTTTGTCACTGAGTTGTTTCTTTTCTGCTACTGGTGAAGAACTAAATGCCAGATACTTGCCTGTTGATTTTATTAGCAACACAGCTGGTCACAGTTGAAAACAATATCAGATAAGAAGAAACAAAATCTCACTGAGTGATACACCAAAACCAGATAAAGATAGCAAATGTCAAGCCTTGACATTTGGTGAAAATAGCAGATGTCAATGGAAAACATCCTCTTAGAGTTAATGATGCATCTTATGCTGATATGATCCAGAACTACCTGAAACAGAATTTCAAATGGTCACAGAACAAACATTAAACTAGATAAAGCTGATGTAGCAGGAACAAACATAGTTTTGTAGCCCAGATATCTCCCCCCCTCCCTGTAAACATGCAATTTTATTGGCACAGAGGAGTTTGTTTTGTTTGTTGGGGATTTAGATTGTTGAGATTTTTTTTTAAAAAAATTGAATTTTATATGTATAAAAATCAAAGACACTTCAAAGAAATAAAACTGTTGGAAAACATGGAAAATGTAAGAATGAAGGATTTATTTCTAACTTGCTCTGCATGGCAGCTTGAGAACTGCAAAACGTTGGAATTTACAATGTAGTACATAATAGTCAGTAGACTTACAAACATGATTCCGATTAGTTGGTAGTTTCCCTGCATGCATACACAAATAGACAGATATTAAAAGGTAAAGCATCTTGGTTTGAGCAAGCCTTTTGAAACAATGAAGCTCAGCTAGATTTTTTCATGTAAAATATTTTTGTCTGAGTATTTATTTATTTATTTTGCATAGGAAAAATCTCTTGAACACCCATCAGCAGGATTTAGCACTTTTGCAGGGAGAGGAATTCGGTTCTGGTGCAGATACTGATACATCTTTTACAAATGCAATCATAGGACTGCCACTGTAAAGAAGCTTTTTCATCTGCATCCCACAGGCTTGTACTGATGTCTCCCCTCTGTATGGCCTCTGTATATCCTCTGCGTTGTGCTACATAAGAGAATTACACTGACCACCGATGCTTTATTATAAATAAATAAATAGATTAGTCATGGTGGGTCAGATGAAAAAATCTTATTCCTCGCCTACGAATCGACAGTGATGAGTTTCTTTACCCCAGTAAGTTGGCTTCCTAATTGAAGCCCACAATTAGCTCCGGAAATAGGATAATTGTTTTCTGCTCATCCCCAGCTGCGATGGTGTCCTGGACTACTGAAAATAGAGGGGGAGAAATACGTGATAACAAATAAGACACAGATGAGCTCTGCTCAACTCAATGTTTTTTCCTGTGTTTTGATCTATAGATGTGCTCATGTATCTATAAATCATCTACAACTGTGCTTTCAAGATATTGTTGCTGATCACTTGTGCTCACTTCTTGGCACCAAAGCTTGGAAAGCTCCTGGAATCCAGCATCTATTATCAACATGGGCCACACAAATGCAGTAAGAGAAGACAGATCTGAACAAGGCTTGACTCTGATCACCCCAGTGAAGAAATGGGATATTTTTATCTTTCAATCACAGTCTCTATCTTTTCTCAGTATCTAAAGAAGACGGACACCGAATTATTCTTGGAATCCTGATACCTCTGATTTTTAATCTTAAATCCCTATGTTTGCATTTTAACCAAAGAATATCAAAATCATGTCAAATTTACTAAATGCTTAAGGTATTTTTTGTAACTTACCATTGCACAACCACATTGTATTCTGTGGCTAGTGCAGTATAAAATGCACAAAACCCAGCACCAGCAGAGCTCAAATATTTTGATATTATGCACCTGACTGTTTCCTTCTAAGATACATTACAATTTTAAGGTTTCTACTACTTTTGAAAAAGGAATCTGGTTTTATTTTTCTAGGACAAGTGTTGGAGAAATTCACTAATCTCAGTTGTAAGATCGAGTTTGTAAAACTGAAGACCACTGACCTCCACTTCAATAAAAATGTGAATATTTCCTCTGTGGAGAGGGTAAATGGGGTGCCTTCAGCTCTGCTGCACCTCCCGCACAAAGCATGGGAACACCAACAAACTTTCTTCCAGTGCCAGCAGGACCTATAAAGGACTACCAGCCTTTCGTCTCCTTTCATATACTCACAACCATGTACTGTTAGTTTGGCTGTTAAAGAAAATTTAGTTTAGAGGAAGGTGAGAGGGACACACCTCCCTCCCCAGTCATGAAATTCTTTTTTTTGCAACTTGAGCCTGCCAATTATAATTAGACAACTGTGTCATACCTGATACACAGAAGACCTGAATTAATGTCTCTTTTGGGGTGTGTGTGAGTTTTCTTAATTATGAGGTGGACTGAGACAGACTAATTGTCCACACTGGAACTACAGAGGCCAGATTTTCTGGTGATACAACAAGAGTTCAGTGGAGCTCAGCCAATTCTTACCAGATCAGTCAACACCAGACTTTGTGTCATTGCTTCCCCTAAATCTGAACTGAATGCAACTACTGGTCTTTGACTTTATCCCTTCTTAGTAGCTTAATTAAATCTCTTTATCCCATTTTCCCTATTCATCTAGGCTGACAAACAGTCCAAGCACACAGCAACAGCTTCCCTATTCGTAATGAGCCACTTTGAATATTTGCAGAGCAGCGACTCTGGCAAGAGTAATGGTTTCGGTTAGTTTTTTTTTTTTTACAGTGTCCTTCTGGGTTCCAGGGCTTTGCATATAGAAATGACTCAAGCACACCGAACAAAGAGAAGAGATTGTTTGTGGATATTTTCTGTTTATTTGGATTTTTCAGGACAAATTTTGCTTTGTAAAGAAGAAAGCTCATGACATCTGACAAGTGGCAGACTCTAACAGCCTCATCCTACTATTTTTTTTTACTCATACAGTAACTCTGCTGTCTTGAGTCATTCAATTCAGTTGTAAAAAGAGTGCATTACAAACTTCCTATAACTTTCAGGACTAATTAGCAAAACATCCTTCTGCAAGCCACATGCTGTGCTAAAACAAACATTATGTACAACACCAAGACATCTCAGCTGGCAGCCATAGCTTTTCATCACTGATGATTAAATGATTTTTACAACTTGCTTTCTGAAAAGGAGAATTAAGGAAACAGGGTTTTTTCCCCCCATGTACTTTTATCCCAGGTCCCTCCACTGCTGTGTCCTGTTGTCCTGCGGCTCTCTGGTGCCACACTTCCCTAACCATGACTGCTATTCTTGCTTGCAGACCCCCAGGCTCCCATCTGGATCTCTACTGCCTTCCCTATAGCAAAGGATTGGCCATTTACTTATGTATTTATTTATTTATTTTTACCAATGAAGATAAGATCTTTCTCTGCCAGCCAAGAACCAATTTTCAAAAAAGTTTTAGCTTCAGATTGCAAGTCCTGTGTCAAATTTGATCAAACCTGACCTGAGACTGATTTACAAAGTGATCACATATGCTACATTTTCACAGACAACAGGGCTAAAAATAGCACTGTAAGCTCTGTAGTTAGTTAAACTTGGTGCTATAAATCTCCAGTGTTCCACCAAACAAGTGAGCAGTATGATCTCTCAAGCAACTTGGTTTTGTCCTTGTGCCTTAATGCCCTGTGAAAGCTTGTTGAATCCCACTTTGTATAGAAAGCCATAGGTCCACATTTAGAGATATAAGTCATTTTTCAATGATATACAGGAAAGCTATGCATCAAAATGACCAGTATTTGCTGGAGTTGGAAGAGAGAAGATAAATATGATCTTGTAGGAACACAAGACATTTTTAAAGATATATGGAAATTGCAATAGTTAAACATAGTATTTCTGATGACATTGGTGAGCTTTAAGAGTGGGTCCACAGAGCTTTCAGATACCGTCACTGAAAAAAATCATTGTTTGCAACAGGAAATGAATCTCCTTTTAAACCACCTCTTCTCATCAAGCTTTGAAAACAGTCTTCACAGATTCAATATTCTACCATTCTGCCTTAACATTTGGAACTCAATTTCTTCTAATATTGTACAGTCCCCCTCTGAACAAAAATGACTGCTTGCCAGTGTCATCCCCTGTAGCAGCATTATAGCTCAGCAGAGTAATTCTGTCCAAAAGCAGTCAGTCCCAACTGTGCATTTGGCCACCCATTACTGGACCTGGTACACATTTTTTTTCTGGGGCTTGGATTCTGTCATTCCAGGTTTTCCTGAGGTCCGGTGTGTCATTGCACATTAATGCAGTTCTGAGGAGGATTTAATCAGCCACTAGTCAAGGTAACTATATATATGTATTTTTCTTTATAGAACAGGACCAAATCACTTCGGGGGACTATTAAAAATAGTACCATAGGGTCCCTCAGAACATTGACATTGATTTTTTTCTTAAATCAAATCTAGGGAGCATTGGGGGAACACCAGGACAGGAAAATAAAAAGGACGGTTCCCTTTCAGCAAGAAATGCAAGGTGCTGAAACATTTATAGCTGCAGGATAAGTACAATAGCACCACTAGTTACAGCCTGCAAGGACTCCTCATAGAATATAGGAAGCCCTGAGACAAGATGTAAATCAGCAAAAAGATACAGAGTAGGAGAAGGTAATTAGATGCCAATAGAGACGGAGAGCAGCTTTTCATCAAACAAAATGGATATTGCTGTTTGGAGAAATCAAAGTGTATTTGCTGAAGGTAACTGCTGACAACAAATTTCTTTGAATTATATAAGGTGTTTGAATTCCTTGCATGCACAAGTCCAACCAAAAAATGCTGGTAAATACACACCAAAAGAACATATTAAATGTATTAAGAGCTGTTTATTGCATTTTCTAACATTTCTCAGTTCTTCACATAACAAAGCTTTGTATGTTTAGAAAATGCAGAAGCTTCACAGCAGCATTTCATATAAGATGTAAAACTAAAGAACCCCTGAACAAGCAGTGAACACACATCTGATGTCTGGAAATTCAGGTAGTTAATAAACAAAGTTAACTATATCAAACAAAAATACATGTTGAGTACAAATTCCAAACATATTACAAAGAAATTAAATATCTGTAGTAGTAGAGTTCCTTCTCTAGTTCAAGATGGTAATATTGTCAGTGACCGGAAACAAGGAAACCTTATTCTACACAACTGTTCCCTGTGTGGTTGGGATAAAATCTGACTGAATTCATTGTGACAAGAATTTCACTGACTATATTTATCCTTCCTGCAAAAAAAATTATTCCAACCCATGTCAGAAGGAAACACACTAAATTAAGGTAGAAATCTCTACAAGTGCTGATCTTTCAGCACAACCTCTTGTCTTCACACTGCTTCTCCTGTTGTTTCAAACTGTATGTATGATGGAAACTATCTGATATGTTGTATTAAAGTCTATTTGAATTGCAGCATTGCTACGACAAGAACAGAGAACACAGAGCATTCAAAGCTTACTGCTGATTGTATGTTAAAGC